ATCGCAAGAATACCTCGAATCACTCCCTGAAGCGTCCAGGCCAAAGATTCGGCAAGGGTTACGAATGAATCTCTTTCAGCTGACGGGCGGTTTCCGAATTGCCGGTTACGTCCAGACGCAAGTATACGTCGAGTCCGAACAAGGTCATATTCTCAAAATGACCGCGGAATGCTATGTGGTTCCTGGAATGTCCACTCCCTTGTTGTTAGGGGAAGACTTCCATGTAAACTATGAACTAGGAGTCTCACGTAGCATCCTCGAAGGATCGGCCATCCAGGTGGGCGACACTGGCTATACTATCGCAGCTTCGTCAGCTGTCAAGAACGAAAGACCCAAGCTCAAGATATTAACCAAAGCAGCCGAAGCTAGTTTCGTCAAGGCTAAGACCCACCGCAGATGCAAAGCCGATCGACATAGAGAGCGACTGAAGAGAGAGCGACCCTCAGCCTTAGCGGCACAAGACGTGCGAATCGCGCCGCACTCTTGTGCCCGAGTGCCCCTCCGCGCGTCCTTCAATGTACACGAGTCCTGGTTCATTGAGAAAACAGTGTTGGGACAAGCGGACGGATCTTTCCTCCTAACCACTCCTACTTTAATCGACCAGGAGCATGCCTTCGTGTCGGTCACCAATCCCAATGACCGTCCATACATCGTACGAGAAGGAGACGCGTTAGGGTTGTTACACCCTCCGTCGGAGTTCTTCGCGCCCTCAGACCCGCAGTTATTGGCCCACGCCCTAAGCGTACAGAGCTACATCAAAGAGTCCGTTACCTCGCCAGAAGCCGCCGAACAACCTCCTCCCGAAGCTGAAACCCCAGACGACCAGTGGGGACCTAAGACTGCGGAATTGCCCGAACTCGAGAACTACCCCTCTGAGAAATTGGAGGAGCTTCTCGACATCGGGCCGGAATGGCCTCCCGAGTTGCGCAAAGAACTACTAGCCACACTCCGACGCCACCAGGCAGCCTTCGCTTTCGACGGTCGATTAGGCCAAAATCCCACAGCCGTCGACATCAAATTGGCACCCGATACTAGGCCGATTTCGCTACCTATGTACACCGCTTCACCCGCCAAGAGGGAGGTAATCGACAAACAACACGAATCCTGGCTCGCCTTAGACGTCATCGAACCCTCCAACAGCCCGTGGGGCGCTCCGGTCTTGATCGCCTACCGCAATGGAAAGCCCCGATTGTGCGTGGATTACCGCCGCCTGAACGCGGTCACCGTGCCCGACGAGTTCCCTATTCCCCGGCAATCCGAAATTCTGCAGGCTCTTTCCGGAGCTCAAGTCCTCACCTCTCTCGACGCCCTGTCAGGGTTTACGCAACTCTCGGTGAACGAAGACGACCGCGAAAAGACCGCCTTCAGGACCCATAAAGGGCTCTACCAGTTCAAACGCTTGCCCTTCGGACTCCGCAACGGACCGTCGGCCTTCCAACGAGTAATGCAAGGTGTCTTGGCGCCGTACTTGTGGCTCTTCGCTCTAGTTTATATCGACGACATCGTCATATACTCTAAATCGTGGTCAGAGCACATATCTCACTTGGACAAGGTGCTGAGCTCGATCACGGCATCGGGTATCACCCTCTCCCCACCTAAATGTCACTTCGGCTATACCTCAATCCTGCTGCTAGGACAAAAGGTGTCCAGGCTGGGTTTCTCGACGCACCAGGAGAAGGTCCGCGCAGTCACGGAGCTGGCAAGACCCCAACGTGTATCCGACCTACAAACGTTCCTGGGGATGACGGTCTACTTTTCCTCGTACATCCCTTATTACTCCTTCATCGCCTCCCCTCTGTTCGAACTACTACGGAAGGACAAGAAATGGGAATGGTCCGCGGACTGCGAGAATGCATGGCAGCGTGCGAAGGAGTCTCTCCAATCCGCACCTGTCTTAGCTCACGCGTCCCCCGGACAACCATACCGTCTCTACACGGACGCATCGGACATAGCCTTGGGTGCGTGCCTGCAACAAGTGCAGCCAATTCAAGTACGCGACCTCAAGGGTACCCGAGCGTACGACCGTCTAGCCAAAGCACATAGGGACGGCGTCTCCCCTCCCAGCCTAGTAACGAAGCTTTCTAAGAAAATCGACGACACCCCGGAGCCAGAACCCTGGTCCTCGACGTTAGACGATACTACCGTCTACGTCGAACGAGTCATCGCTTACTGGAGCAGGTCCTGCAAGCCCGCCGAGAGAAACTACTCGGCCACGGAAAGAGAAGCTCTAGCGGCTAAAGAGGGTTTAGTGCGATTCCAACCTTTCATAGAGGGAGAGAAAGTGACGTTGATAACGGACCACGCGGCTCTGCAATGGGCCCGAACCTATGAGAACACCAACCGCCGGCTGGCAGCTTGGGGGGCAGTGTTCGCAGCATACCTCCCCGACCTCGACATAGTCCATAGAGCCGGGCGAGTGCACTCAAACGTCGACCCCCTTTCACGCTTACCTCGGGAACCACCCGCCCACGATTCGCCTACAATGGACGCCTCCATCCCCATTGTGCCAGAGTTAGACGAGAACCAAGAAGCCAGACCGGGAGCTGATCGCCTGCCTGCGGCCAGAATGACTGCTACGGCCACCATCTGCTACTGGGACGATGTCCTCGAAGCCCCGGCTTCGGGTCAGCAAGCCAACGATTCAGGCATCAGAGTGGGGGGCGGATATAGGATAACCACGGACGGCAACGAACTCGAGGACGACTCCGGGTACCTGAACGTTGCCCATGCGGGAGATGAGCCTCCCCAGGGGTTGACGGACAGAGTAGCGGCCCCAGTGTCAACAAGGGCAAGGAATCGACGCACGCGCACTAGCGGAACGCCTAGCAGCCCTCCTCCAGCAGCGGAAACATCCAAGGAGCCAGACGAACATGATCCGTCTGCTCCTGCGGGGTTTGACGATACAGGGGAGTCAGACGAAAATATTCCGTCTGCTCACCCTGACCGGGAAGACCTCTACGAGACTCAAGTACATCTCTCGAGACCCACCCTGCTAGCAGAGTTCAGCAAGGAATACCGCGACAAGTTCATCGCGGGCTACTCCAAAGACGCGTTCTTTCGAGACAAATGGAAGAAGACCTCAAATTCAGACCTACCTCACTTTGCAGGTCAATGCTTCTTCAAGGATGATTCAGGCCTCCTCTACCTGAAGACGGGCTCGGACCCAGCACGTCTTTGCGTACCACGACCGGAAGTTGTGCCGCTCATCGCACGACTACACAACTCCCCTTATGAAGCCGCTCACGAGGGAGCTGCCAAGTTAATTCAGCGTATGAACTCCAAGTTCTTCTGGCCCACTCTGCGAAAGGATGTCAGGGACTATGCTACGACGTGCGATGTCTGCCAGAAGACTAAGACCGACCATCGAGCGAAAGCGGGACTTCTCCGTCCTAACCCCGTACCTAACCGACCGTTCGAATGGATCTCATTTGACTTAATCATCGGTCTTCCCCCTTCGGACGGGTTCGACGCCATCTTCGTGTTGGTCGACCGCTGTACCAAGTATGGACTATTCGTCCCTTGTTCGAGCTCCATGAACACCGTCGAGTTCGCCCACCTATTCGTCCTCCAAGTTATATTCCGCTTTGGTATACCCGACCATATCATTAGCGATCGCGACGGACGATGGATTTCGGAATTCTGGAGATCGGTGGCGGCCGAACTGGACATTCACCTGTGCTTATCCTCCTCGCATCATCCTCAACACGATGGACAAACGGAGATAGTTAACCAACGCATCGAGACCATGCTCCGCGCTTACATCCAAGGCGACCGCAACTCCTGGGCCAAGTGGTTACCTGCACTCGCCCACGCCTATAACTCCTCGGTTCACTCGACTACTGGATACTCCCCTTACTTCCTTCTATATGGATTCGAACCCAAGGGAGCCCTTGACTTCGTTAGTAACAACAACCGTTACGAGGAACGACCCCAGTTAGTGAGCGAGCGCGCCACCGATTTCGTTACGAACATGGAGTCGCACCGTCAACGAGCGCGCGACGCTATCGCAATTGCTGCAGAAGAGAAAGCCCGATACTACAATCAAGGACGCCGTGCCGAAACGTTCCCAGTAGGATCGCGGGTACTAGTCAACCCGCATTCACTGGAGTTGGTCGACGTGAAAGGAACAGGAAAGAAGCTGGTACAACGCATGCTAGGGCCTTTCACTGTACAAGAACAAGTGAACCCCCTAGTATACCGACTCTCCATCCCGGACACTTATCCTATGAATCCTGTCCTCAATATCGAACACCTGCGGAGGTATCGTGAGCCTGACGCTTCCACTCTGCCGGAGGGGCGTCCGATCCTGCCGGACCCCCGTAATTCGGAACTGTTAGCCACCGAAGAATACGAAGTAGACCGCCTCGTTTCCTGGAGGCGGAACAAGACTAGAGGCAACCGCCTCGAGTATCTGGTTCGTTGGAAAGGATACAGCCCCGTCCACGACACTTGGGAACCGGCCTCTCACCTCCGGAACGCTCACGAGATCCTCCGCCAATTCAAGCAGGCTCACCACTTGACGCGTTAGTAGCTCTTCTCACGGCGTCCGAGCGTAACATACGTAGCATAGAAGTGTAACCATACCTCCTCTACGTACCATATTTGTATTTTTGGCTGACCTTCGCGAGGAGGCGCGTTGCCCTCGATCGCGCCACGAACCCTTCACGTGACCGCGTCGCGGAAGCCTGGGGGGCGCTAATGTTTAAATCACCGCTCTTCCCTCCTCCGTACCCTCGTCCCTCCTCTCTCTCTCTCTCTCTCCCCTCCTTCGTGGACGTTCGATTGCCGAACTTCACATCTCCTCACTGAGCCGGTGTTCGAGTAGCCGAACCTTGCTCATCCTCTCGCTTGACGTCGACTCTCGAGCTTTCGATTGCGATCCTCGAGTTCGTCATGGCTGAGCCGTCGACCCCCGCCCCAGCTGCTCTCAGGTTCCGTTCGTCTCTCTGGGTACCCTCGGAGTACGACTTCCTCCCGGCTGCGCGCTCAATTCGCGACGCCAGCTGGAAACACTTCGTCGCTCACAAGGCTATCAGGTCCGCGGTCAGTCTGGGTAACGGGACGTACGCGGTGTCGCCCAACGCGACTTACGTCCCCGCTCTGCCCCCGAGCCATACGGACCAGGAGGAAATACTATCGGATGGGCGACGTGGTCTGTTCGAGCCGGGATATCACCCGCAGTACTGGAACAACGCCAGCGGGCACTTGCCCTTCATCTACGAGATCCCCGAAGGACCGGAGGGACGCGATCCCGCCTTCGTCACGATTGACTGTCGGAGACGCGGAGTCCCTGTGACTTTCCGAGCCTCCAACAATGGCAGCGGGAAGGGTCTCCCAATCCGCGAGTTCGTCGAAGCTCTCCAAGCTCTCTACCGAGCTGAGCTTGAGCGGGCAGAAGGGTACTTCCTGAAAGATCGCGAGCCTCCACTCGCTCTCAAGCTGCGACCCGCGCAAGTGCAGGAGGTCTTCATCAGCCTCCCTTACAATACGACGGTGTTGTACGAAGCCCGGAAGAACGTCGCGGTGATCCAACGACACCTGCTGGAGCTGCGTGGGTACTCAGCTCGCTCGTACCTGCAGGAAGCTTTCGATGCGGGGAGGTTCTCTATCCCTCGCTCGGAAGCCAGTGGCAAAGGGTGCTGGGTTAGAGAAGGGAACGACGAAATCCTCAAACGTCTAACTTGGTTCGGGGTGCCGGTCTGGTACGTCTCTCGCGCCGCCACTCCCGCCCCTGGGCGAATACTCTCCTTCGCTCCCCTCGACTGTCGCCTCTCGCTCGACCCTTGGGACGAGGCGGAACACGGTCCCCGAGTCCACATCGGGAAGAAGACGAAGAAACGTCTTGCGCAGGAGAAAGCCGAACAGGATGACGCGGACGAGGACTCGGATTTCTTCTATCCTCCTCGCAGCCGACCGTGTCTCCCCCTTCCCACTCCGTCCAGCAGTAGTCGAGCGCCGCGGACCCCTGCGCCGGTTCCCTCCCTCCTCCCTCCATCATTGTCGGACGAGGAGGGGTGGATTAACCACCCACCAGTCTCTCCCCTCCCTGTCCCTCCGGAAGAAAGGATCCTTCTTGGCAGGACTCCCTCGCCGCGAGCAGGGTCCCCTATGGTGATCTCCCCCCCGCGCCCGACACGCGTGAGCCCAGCCAGGAGGGAGGAGAGCAGGACTCCGATACCTTCCGCTCTGGTCGTGAACGATCGCGAGTCTCGGGGACGCGTTCGACCCGCCGAACCGTTCCCTAGGACCCCGATCCCTCCTCGTCGCCGACCATCCCCATCGCCGCGCAGGATGGAACTTCCTCCTGGAAGACCGTCCCCGCCTCGCCCGAGGTCCCCCAGGCGTACTAGACCAGCGTCCCCCCCACGCGGGAGATCCCCTGCCCGACTCGGCGAAAGACGAGACTATGGCAGGCTGCGTCTCTCTCCTGTTCGTTGGCGCCCTTGGGAACGGAGGCCCCGTAGTCCTCCACGTCGCTGCAGCCCCAGAAGGCGATCCCCTTCTCCCCGGACCAGGGTGCCGCACGCTGGCCCAAGTCGTCAGCGCTCCCGGTCTCCTAGGTCTGAACCGCCTGCAATCCGTCCCGGTCCGAGCACCGCACCCTCCGCTTCGATCAACCCCCGGCCCTCTGAGTCCCAACGTCCCCCTCTCATTGAACGCCTCGCATCTCGACCCCCCGAGCAGAGCCTCTCCTTGATCGACCGGATACAACGCGCTTCCCTCCTGTCACGACTGCAGGAAGCAGAACTCCCGGGACGTACCGAGCTTGAGCCATCCCCATCAGGAGCGCTGATCGATCGAATAACTCGCCCGTTGAGCGAAAGGATCAGCGACGAACGCATTGCGGGAGAAGGAGAGGCGCCCCCCGAGGAACAAACGTATTCCCAACCACCCGGAATGGTTGAGGAAGACGTCGAGGTCGTCACCCTAGCCGCTCCCGCCCCGACGGCGAGCGAAGGGCTCCACGTCGTGCAACTGCCGTCTGGTATTCCGCTGAGGACGCGCCTCCCCATAACCACGGGCGAGGAAGCCATCGCGTACCTACGCGAACCATTCGAACGAGGTTCTCAATCGCCAGCATTCAGGCTCAGGGACGAGGACGATTACGGTCCGGAACCCTTTTACCCACCCTCCGGCCAACATCCGGTTCCCCCCCCGCACCTCCTACTCGCCGCTGGAGACGAAGGCTACCTAGCGACTATCCTGTGGCTGAAAGCGCGCGGACCATGCCTCGCCGGACTCTCGGCCCCGCCTCAGCAGTGGGCCACTTCTAACTCGAAGCAGTGGCAATCTCGCCTTCGCGGTGCCAAGCCCTTGCAGGTCGCCGCGCGCAGCATCCCCACGAGACCTCTCCCGGACGACGTCATCTCCCCCTTTCGCAACCCACTCCCGCACGAGCGCGAGAACGAAACCTGGGAGCTTCGAACGTTCCATTTCCGACTGGACTTCGAACGCTTGGCGCAGCAGATGCACCCGGGCATCCAGGCGGCCTCCAGCAGTACCGCAAGAGGTACGATCTGGGCCGGCATCCGCGACCGTATCCGCCGCGTCTGGGGGGCTGGGACGACTCTATACCCGTCGACACTCGAACCTCGCTACTTCGACAACGAGGATGACCTGGTGAGGCTGCGTCACTGGTTCGCCCTGGGACGGTTGATGCTGGAGTGGAACCTTCGACCCGACCTCGAGCACGACCTTCAAGTCGCGATGGGGGGCTCTGTGACGGATGCGGCGGACCGCATACGAAACGTATTCATCACACTGTATAAACGACAGTTTAATAATCGCGACCCGCAGGTCTTCACGCCTCGTACATATTAAAATACTAATTATGTAGCACTTACCGTACTTAAATTGTATCTACTGTACACGCGTGACGTAGAATACCCGGGAGCGCGCGCCCGGGAAATAGACGCCTTCTTCTTGCTCTCAAACTACCTCGTACGCTTGCGACTTACCGCACCGTCCGAGACTGAGAGCCCTAAGGCGATACCCGCTGCCCGCGCTCCTCGCCGGGTTAGCCCTCAGAGTGAGCTCCTCGCCACTCTGAGTAAGTCGGCTCCTCGCCGCTCTTCTAGACGAGCTCCTCGCCGTCTAGCCACGTGGACTCCTCGTCCACGTACGAACCTCTACGCGGACTCCTCGTCCAGCGAACGACCTGCTAGACCAACGTCTAGTTACGACCTAACGACTATCGACTGGGCCACTTAGTGCCCACTAAAGCCTCGACGGTTAGACGGCCCGTCCCCTCTGCGAGCAGACGAACCACCGTCTCTCACAGTACCGGGAGGGCAGCGCATTGAGCGCTATCATCGCCCGCAGTGGAGCGGGGATGTTGATCCCTTCGCCCGCAAGCTTGTCAAACGCAGCTGCGATGTTAGCGAACGTCGGGTTCGGGTGCTCGTTCGGAGGGATCCGAGCATTGATCGCTGTCCTAAACTCCTTGTAAACACCGGCGGGGGTCTGCTTGTCATAGAGCGCCTTCAGCTCGTCCCAGAGGGCCTTGCTGGTCGTCTTGTTCTTGACAGCCGCCTTGACGGACGACGTCAGCCGAAGACGGATCGACCCCTGTGCCTTTTGATCGCGCTGCAGCCACTCGTAGTAGACTGAGGGATTCTCTGTGTCCAGAGTAGGCTGGGGCCAGGTCGAATTGACAATGATCCAGACCTCCTGCGCCATGAGGAAGGCCGACATGGATTCACATCAGGAAAAACACTTCTAACTTCAGCAGTCTTGAATGAAGAACACCTGATCTTAATCAATCTTTCACAACTTGTGTTCCTCAATTAAGTGCACCATGTGCATGAAGACTGCTGAAGTTAATTATAGTACCTTTGAGAAATTTGTCTTGTGCCCAAGTTGGAAGATATGCAACTTTAGTTCTGCAGATTAAGACACATAAGTACACATTAGTTGGAAAATGACCTCTTAACTAGAAAATATGCATGATGAGATGTCAGATTGCTCAATATGAAGACTTCACCAAGATTTCACCTGACAAGTTAACACATACTATATCTGGCAACAGTAATGGGGTACAAATAAAGATTATTTGTTTTTCCCTGTGATTATGAGTATATTACCCTACTTACAACAGATGCTGTGGTCAAAGTCATATTGTCAGGGATTTGGACATATTTGACCTGTTAAGGTTGAGAGACAGCAAAAGAACACTTAAGCATGCAAAGTGAGACAAGAAGCCTGCCCTTGAGCAAATTATGAGTCTACACAAGGTCTGCAAGGCAACAGATAGTGCCAAGAAGAAATGAGGCCAGTCTGAGAGCCCAGGGATGCACAGGGGCTGGGCTAACAGGGGGCAGCAATTGCAGATTTCTCTAAGTCCAGAAAGATAGTCAATATAGGTTATTGTAGAAGGGAACAAGCACAGGGACCTATGGTGTAGTGGTCACAAGTTTGTGCTGAGAGTGTGGGAAGTTAGTTTAGCAGGTCAGGGGTTCAATTCTGGGAAATGGCAGATCATTTTGGGCGACATTTTTGCATCTGGGATGCCTGTTATGACAGCATATGCACAAACACAGCAGAATCATGAGAGAAGTCACCCCAGTAATGATGAAAAAACATCATTCTTGCTTGGAATGAGTGTTTACTTTGGTTACTTAATGGAACTTAAGTAAGACAATTTAAGAAATCGACTTACCTTAAGGCTCTTGTGGCACATAGTGACACATAATGTCACTTTTGGCTCTCCACAAGACCACTTAAGACACGAACGTTTTTCCTGATGCAGCCCAGGCGCGGTAGTTGGAGCCATCGAGGATGGGGACAGCGGTGAAGAGGGTGTTGGAGGCCATTGGTAGAGGGTTTGAAGTGATAAACTCGGTAAATGGGGAATACTGACAACAATGTCGTCAGCCCTCTACTCAATGACGAGTGCAGCCTTAGAGGCGCAACCACCGCTATGGTGCATGTGCTGGGGGTAGCAGCAACAGAGTTGCGCTAAGACCTGCAGCGATGTACGCGCATAGTCCCCCCCTGGCTTCAAGCCACTAAGGCGAAGCCACAGGTAAGCTGGTGCGCACACTGAGACGCAGCCAGTGAGGCGCAGTACTCAGGCAGTGACCAGGGCTCATAACCTGTTGAGCAGGCAGCTCCACGCAGTGGTGCGCCCTCACAACTTACCTGCAAGGTTGCTGATGCTTGATGCACAGGCAAGTACTTCGACTGAAGGTACTGGGGATTGAGCTACGCTACTGGGGTCCTTATATACATGAGGAGACCGCTTATCTAAGCTACTGTATAGTACGTTCCCACGACATACAAGGTAAGTGGCGTAGCCATGTGATAACACACAGATGACATCATAGATGACATCACGGACCCGGAGCTTCCCATAGAACCGGTCCGGCCTGTGATTGAACCCGGCAGCCCGGTAGGCGCCTTCCTAGTTCAACATGCAGTCCAGACTGCGGTCCGAGACGAGCCCTGGAATATCATCCGGCAGTATGACATGCGGTACCTCCCTCTGCTCATCATTGTCCGTCGCGCATTCCAGTCCTTTACTGCGCAGATGTGGGACATGCTAAACAAGATCTACTTCACGTCGAGAGGCGAACCGGAAGTGAACACTCTGGAACAGGCAATGAAGGCATGGTCATTGGGCACCGTCTTCGACTCGATTACAAAAGTCAGCTGGGACGCCATCAACACAGGATGCTGGAAAAACATCCGTGGGCCGAAAGAGGTGTCATTCAAGGACAGGGTCAAGATGTACTTTCCCGAGAGCCAGGAGATCGCATCCAATTCGGCTGCACTCCGCCCCTTCTACCTCCTCAGGACAGGCTACCTCTCGCGCTTTTGGCGTGACATCGCTGAGCTTGACGAAGAAGAGCGTCAAGACGTGTATGACGAGCTGGGTGAAATCTTCTCGAGTATTCAGTGTCTTCCGGCTACTCGTATCAGCCGTAACGATGGGGCCATTCTTCCGGGAAATACATGGCAAACCATGAACGGCTCCATACACATTATCACAAACCCTGCGCACTACATGATCAAGGGTATTGGCGAGGAGCGGAATGCTCGCAGAGCGCAACGGAGCTCTAGGGCAGTGGTCTCGGAGCGCGCAGCTCTCGAGCGCCAGCTGGAAAGGCAGGCTGTGCCGCAGAAGGACAGGGGGAGGATGATCAAGGCGGCCATCGGCAGTAAATCAACCAGGGAAAAGAAGATGGAGGAAAGGCGGTCTAAGAAGTCGAAGAATATGCGGGCGCCACCAGGTGCTAAGAAGCAGGGCTCATCGTCGAGTTCGAGTTCAAGCACCAGCGGAGATGGGTATTATTTGGATGAAGAGGGTTCAGAATAGGATGTAGACTGTACGCAATTTGTGTCATATCCATGTACACAGATCTTGAATGCAATGTATGACCATACAAATGCTAGCTAAGATGATTGTAGGGCATAAGAGTATGGTAATGAGGCGTCTTAGGACGCATCCCAGGTGCTAGAACGGTGTGTAAATGGCTTGGTCAGTGCCGGAAAATCCACAATATCGAAATCACTTACCCTATTTGCGCCCCAGGACCCAGTCCAATGGGGGAAGTCGTGGGACACCAGGTACCCACCATCTCCGGCGGCGCCCAAGCACGTGGATTGGAACCGAAGACATGATCATGTCAGGGCGTACAGCAGGGTGTGCTTTACGCCACTTCCGCCTTTGCTGCTCCGGCGTCAAGACCACCTTCGCCTTCTTCTGGTAACGACTGTAACAAGCGAATAAGTGACCGATCTAATGATACAAAAAATCAATACATACACGGGCAAGTCATCCTCAGCCTTGCGCTTCAAGGACGTCGGCTTCTGGGGCACCACAGCCTTGTTAGAAGACATTGAAATGTTGTCTAATCGACTGTTAGCTTGGCTTGTAACACTTAACAATGAGATTTACTTACTGTTGACGAGGGATGGTGGGGGAAGGAGGGAAAGAGACGAGTGGGTCGGTCAGACAGCAGCCAGGTTTATATACCACCCTCAAGGTGGTGCACATGATCATAACCGGGGATGTTGCCACTGATGGGCCATGGTGTTTGACAAAAAAGGAAAGGCTCATGTTGCGCCTATGTCGAGCGAGACCGTGGCCAAATATGGTGCAGGAATTGAAAACCAGCTTAGTGCACGTAAGGAGTTCATATTTCAATAGAAGGGAACAATACAGATGTGGTAGATCATTGACACAGATTATCGGACTTAACAAGACGGATAAATTGGCCTCAACTTATATGACAGTATACGAGCTGGCTCAGATCATCGTAAGGCATAAGGGTACAGTACTAAAGTGTCTCAAAGGGTATAAGACGTCTCAAGGGCTCAGCCTCTGTAAATGACTTGTTCAGCGCCGGAAAATCCATAATATCAATATCACTTACTGTTCTTTCCGTCCAAGAACCCATTCGAGCGTGGGCAGTGGCTGGACACCAGGCTCCAACCATCTCCAACGATGCCCAATGACATGGATTGGAACCGCACACAGGACCATGTTAGGCCTTGCAGCTGGGTGTGTCCTGCGCCGCTGACGCCTTAGCTGCTTGGCCGACAGGGCTACCTTCGCCTTCTTCTTGTGACGGCTGTAGCAGGCCAATGAGTGAACAATCTAATGCTTGAATTAACAATCACTTACACAGGCAAATCGTCCTCAGCCTTGCGCTTCAAGGACTTGGGCAACTCAGGCACCACAGCATTGTTAGAGGACATTACAGTTCTGTCTTATGGACTGTTAGCTTGGATTGTGATGCTTAGATATGAGAATTACTTACTGTCGATGACGGATGGTGGGGGGAAGAGGGAAAGAGACGAGGGAGGCGGTCAGACAGCGGCCAGGTTTATATACCATCCTCATAGCCATGCACATGATCATAACCGACGAATTGGCCGCTGATGGGCGGTGGTGTTTGACAAAAAAGGAAATGCACTTGTCTTGAGCCAGACCATGGCCAAATATGGGCGAGGGAAATGAAACTCAGTGTTCTCTAGTGGCCATGGCCCTCCCCCTCGGCTGACAGGCCGCCAACAGATTAAGAATGGCTGCAGACATGGGTCCCAGATTTGGTACCCGTATTCCTACATAGGAATGGACCATATTGACGATAAGGAATCTACCCCGAGATCGTAGTGGTTCAAGTGGTCATTACCTCCCCCCTTGGCTGGGATGCCCGCCAACCAAACAAGAACGGCTGCAGCTATTGCTCCCAAATTTGGTACCCGTAATCCGACATATGAATGGACCATATTGACTATAAAGAACCTACCCCGAAATCATAGTAGTTCCCATGCTAGTGGTCATGGCCTCCCCCCCTTTGCTGGGATGCCCGCCGGCCGAGCAAGAACCGCTGCAGCTATGGCTCCCAAATTTGGTACCCATACTCCTACATATATATGGACCATATTGACTATAAAGACCCTACCCCAAAATCGTAATGGTTCACATGCTAGTGGTTGTGGCCTCCCCCCTTGGCTGGGATGCCCGCCAGCCAAGAAGGAACGGCTGCAGCTATGGCTCCCAAACTTTGTACCCATGGTCCTACATACCAATGGATCATATGAGCTATAAAGAAGCTACCCCCAAATCCCCTTCCTTGGTCTCCTAGAATATGCCCTCCTGCCCATGGTACGCATTTTTCGCCCATAGCACCGGCATCAGACCTCCAATCGCCAAGCGGCTTGGCACCAATGTTCACACATACAAATGAAGCATTTTGCTATAAACAAGCTTCCTGCCAAGTGCTGTTGTTGTGGCTCTGCACATAGCAAAAATGCGCCATTAACAAAAAGAATTGCCCACTGCTCGAAAACCGGTCCGCCAATTTCCCTGAAACTTTGCACCCATCATCTACATGATATAGACGTCCTACATACCAACTTTCAGCCCGAAATTCCGGTACCCTCTTTTGTAATTAATTCCTAACTGACCCCTATTAAACACTAGGTCTAAATAGTACAGTAGTAATAGTGATGGCGGATATAATAGCAACGATTGGTATGCAGAAGACAGTAAAGGCGATGATGACAATGAGCGTGACTATGTGCACAGCGCAAGCAAGCTCAGTACTAGTAGACCAGCACCGGACGGTTCAACCGTCCCACAGAGCTCAATGAATGCTAACGAAACCAAATAAGGTGTGAGAGAGGAGGAACACAGTCCGTGCGGTACTCAGCACTTGCTGCTCTCGTCGGGGAAGCCCGCAGCGGAGCGTATTGCGTCAAGGAGGATGTCCTCGTAGTCGCTGCCCGCCTCCCACTGATCGCGAAGCCGCGGAGGTTGTTTTTTGCAATGAAGCCACCCTTTGCCTCGAATGATTGCGCGTCGTCGAATGAGACCATCACCTGCGAGGTCTGGTTGTACACAAACGGCTGTGTGTCTGTAGCAGTTAGTCTATGGCATCCATGATGCTGGCGGCAGAAGGACTCACCGTCTGGCTCAGACTGGCTGCACCAGTCAAAGATGTAGTGGATGCCGTCGGCGGCGGAGCCGTTCACGTTCAGGAAGCCCGCGTTGATGAGGCCCCAGAGGTCGAACACGCCCGAGGGGCCAGAGACGACGCCGCAGACATCCGTGTTGGTCGCGTTATCCGAAGCATCGCCAAGCGGCTGCTCCGACGTGTTGAATGCAGGGTATATGTTGAGTTTGTTCGACGTGAGCGCCGCAATGGGGTCCACATAGTACGAGTGGCCGTAGCCCGCGACACCGAGGACGATCTGGTGCGCCGGCATACCTGTGGCGGTCCATGCGGCGAGCGCGCTGACAGCGCTGCCCTCCGCCTGCATAGCATTCGTGCACGTGTCGTTGAGCGGCACATTGGGGCCCAGTGAGTGGCACTGTGGTGTTACAGCTGCCGTGCACGTCATGGTTCATCACGTGAATCCAATTGAGCATGGCAGTGAAGTCGGAGACATCGCTGACGGAGCTCCCGTTCGCGCCAACCCAAGGCGTGGCTGGCACAGAGGCGGTCACGATGAAGTCGGGCGCAACCCTCGCGCAGAAGGCCTGTAGGAACGTGAGGTAGTTGGCAGTGTCGTTCTTGGATACGGCGTTGCAGCTGATGCCCTGGTTTCCGGGATATTCCCAGCTGTGTTGATTGTCAGAAAATGTTGTGGCAACGACAGCGTGACACGCACACGAAGTCAATGCCATCCAGCCTGTATTGATTTGCAAAGCCAACAATCACTTCGACAAAATTAGTGATGTTGTCCTGCGTTGCCATGTTCTCCAGACTCCGAGAACCCGGTAGAACCCACCCCCCAGCCACCGATAGACACCAAAGCTTTCACGTCCTGTGAGGCGTTATTCCTCAATGAATGCAACCTGCGGATATACCTGCAGCACTTACATTACCGTGAGCCATGGACACAAACTGCAGCAGAAGTTCGGGATCAGAGCCATTGAGGGAGACGTTTGATGTAGGCCCTGTTGCACTACGGAATCATCTTGTCAACAAGACAGTAATTGAGTGAATGCAACAGGTTGGCCAGTATTGTTTCAATGGCCAGCGAAGAGATTAAACATAGCATCCCTTCATACACTGGACTCCACTCAATGTGAAGTTCCATACAAGTCAATATGATTCACCGGGACAATGGCGAGATGCGCGTGGCTGAGGAACCGCAGGGGCCATAAACAGGACTGCCCAAAGCATTCCACTGTAGTCTCCGCTCTTACGGGTCCATGATATGCATCCATACGGTGCTCATACACCACACCATCAAAGCTCTCTTTCCACGAAAGGCACGACCAAAAAAGAGGCAGACCACTCACGCAAAGGAATAAATGAGGTGGGTGTACTTGTCCCAGCTCACGTTGTTCAGCGTGAAGTCCTCGGAGTGCCATCCGGTATACCACGCCGCCACGACCATGTCAACGGTCGAGTTTGTCGAGTTTGCAGGATCAGTTGAAGCATCCCGAGCGGTGAAAGAGAAACCTGTTGCATGGACTGCAGGAAGCGCGAGCAAGCCCAGAGAGAGGAAGGAAGGAGTCCTACATAAGTAGCGGGCAACCGTACGGTCGCTCCCAGTGCGTCCTCGAGTCAGAAGTCACCCGGTCCATCGCTTGTGCGGGTGAGCCACATGCCGGAGGGGGTGATAGTCTGGAATCCGCGGATTGGATAGGAGGTCTTGGAGGTACTGCGTGTGGCCAGCCAAGGGGCAAACTACCAACAATTATTTCTCTTACAATTGAGCACCTATTCCTAAGGTGTATCACGCTTCCACCCAGCACTTGGTATGGCCACAGATGCCAAAGGATGTATCTGTCCAGCCTGCTTTGGCCGTGCCAAAACAGATAGAGACCCCTGTAAACTCACCTTCCTGGAGGAAGGTAAGCTGTCATCTCCACGGTCACTTTGCCCACTTTCCATCCGCAGCCTAAATCCCCCATTGCTTACGGAATGAATAACAGGAGAGATTGGTGATGACCTTGCCCAAAGCAATCTGGAAAGTATCCAACCTGTCCACGTCTTGTCTCGTTCTATACGTTCGCGCTCCTCTCGCCGCCGCTCGAACACTGCTCGATAACGCTCGTAGCTCTCGCGGAAACCCCGGTCGACGCGCGATGAGAAGATAAGCTCACCGCGCGGATTAGAGGCCGGTGGAATGGGCGGAATAGGGACGGAGGAGCTACGTTTGGTGCGGCTAGAAGGGGGTGAAGGGGAGCGGTGGCGAGGCGGAGCGGCGGGAGCGACTGATGATGATGTTGATCGAGGAAAGAGTAGAGTAAAGGGGTTGAGAAAGGCAGGCAGCTTGGAACGGAGTGGAGGCTGGCGGACGTTCAAGTACATGTTGAAACTTCGGAGGGCGCGGTTCGCATGCGGCACATACCTTCTCGCAAACAAGGGTGCCATGGCCGAGGTTAAACATTTGCGAGACATGAACAATAATGAACATACCGGTTTGCATATCCTATCTTCTCGCTATACATCCCGGAGGCGAAAAAGAGCACCAGAGTCGTCACACTGACAAACAGACCCGTAGTGAAGTACGGGTGAATGCTGATGTCTGTGCGCTCCGCGTAAAGATCCGAGAACACTGCGCGGAGGAGCACCGCGTAGGGGATTGACAGGACGTTGGTTTGGAGTAAGACTTCGCTCGCGAGGAAGGTAATGATAACAAGCAACTGTGCGAGGAACACTGAAAGATGTCAAGGCATCAGCAACAGACGACCGGCGATACAGCTGATACATACGCTGGTAGCGACGCTTTCTCCGGTTAAGGGAAGCGGCGTTCGTCTTGAGGCGCTCCTCGAAGAGCAGGAGATCGCGGTATGTCGCTGCGTCGTAAGCAGGCTGGAAATCGCGACCGCTAGACTTGGAGGACGAACGACGCGCCATCGCGTGTGTGTCGGCCGTCTGCGGTGACGAGGCGGCAGCAGAGTTGAGCAGACAAAGTCGGCGAGAAAGGCTGGATGGCGGTCGACGTGCACAACGGACAGACTCAGACTCAGAGCGCGCCTCCCCTCTCACGCGCTTGTTGGACCACATTTGACTGTACCTCAATGTGTTCTTTCTCTCATTCTACTTGCACAAACCGACCGCAAGTGCGCGTCGACAGACGCTGTAGCTAACAGCTCATAGACATGTACGGACGCGGTCGAGAGCACCGATGATAGCATTGACCAAGGACGACATACACAACGAGGAGATCATGTACCTTCACCTCGTCTGAGACGTTAGAACTTCGGAAGCATCTCCTTGAGATACTCAGCCTGTTTCCTTCTCAGACCCGCCTCTTGTACCTTGCCACGCCCACTCCATATGCGTCGCTCCGCGGCAGGGCCGTATATGACGGTGTACTCGTCGAGGATCTCGTCCTCGGTGGGGACGACGAGGCAAGCGGCACCGATCACGCAGTACGAGGATATGCGAACGGTGTGGTGGACTCTTGCGCGGGCAGAGATGGTGTTGAAGTTGCCGATGCTAGGGCATTCGACACCTGGGATGCGTTAGAGATGCGCGGGACGAAGAGCGGCGCAGCGACTCACGGCAGCCTATCTCGAAGAGATTGTCATCGCCTATGCGCATGACTTCTTTGCGACTGCAGGGACAGTGAGCGGTCGCGAGGCGGGGGAGGGGAGCACTTGCCGGCTGACGAGGATGACGCCCTCCTCGACGATGCAGCCGGCGCCGATGACTATGGGGCCGGCGATGGCAAAGATGGTCGCCTTTGGATGGATGATGGTGCCTGCGCCGACGGTGATGTCGCCCTTGAGCTCGACGTCCTGACAGACGACGGCCTTTGAGTGGATGGTGAACTTGTCGCGGCTGAGACGGTCAGAGGAGTCAGACACTCGGGCGGACTGCGCGCAGGACGGGCGGATGGCACATTGGGGGCATGCTGGGGGCTGGCGACGGCGAGGACGACGGGTGCGACGCTGTGCGACGACGACGACGACTCGCACGGTGGTGGCGGAGGAGAAGGCGACGCGGGTGGCTCTGGCGCTCTTGACCCGATACCACGAAGGCGCCGTCGCGGGGCTCTGTTGTCTTCCTCTTCTCTCCTCGTCCTCCTCTCGCCGCCGCCGCCGCTCATGTACCCGTCCGACGTCGCTCCGTCCGCCCTCCAGGAAACCACGCGCCATACGACCTTCGCCAAGGACCGCTTCCCCAATGTCGTCTGGGAGCTCTTAAACGAGCATGGCAGCAGTGTCCTCAATTCGGTGCATCGGAGCTCGCCCACTTACCCCAGAAGACTCGCCATGCCATCGTCAAGGGTCTCGCCAAGAGGTCCAATACCGTCCTAAATGTCAAGCAAGAAGGTGGTTTCGACTGCCTCGAGCCTTGGGCTGCGACGGAATTCGCTTCCGGTACGCTGCAACCTTCCAAGTGTTTGCCACTTGACTCTCAACACACCCGACAGAACTGGAGCTTCCGTTGAATGCGCTCGTCGTCGACGCTCAGCCGCGTCCGTCTCCGTGTCGCTCCTACGGACACTACGGCCATCTACCTCGCCGAGGCACTCGTCGATCGCCCGTGCAAGTCGAAGTAATGCGCCTGCCGGAGGGGATGACAGTCCAGACGGGATGGGTATCGGGGGCACTGCGTGCAACCAGCCGCTAAGTCCTGTCGCTCCTGCCTCGTCTCGTACGTGTGCGTGCGCGCTCGTCCCCTCCGCTCGTTTATCTAGTCGCTTCCCACTCTCGGTCCTTCATGATCCGTACGCTCGCCGTTCCTTGACAAGAATCCTCACCGAAAACCAGCAATTGACCGCCCGTTGCGCCATGGCCTTCAAGACCCGACACCCATACTGCGCTGTTCCTCCGCCCGCTAGGCGACGCTCTTGTCTCGTCTCATAGTCGTTCCTGCACGGTCGCCTCTTCTGCTCGTCATCCTTGGGGCTCACCGCTGGTTCCCAGTTCTCGCGCTTTGAGCACTCGACGGGCTCGATGCCAGAACTGCTTAGCCGCTGCTTGCTCCTTCTAGCAAGGATCGTGTCCCGCGCTGATACTGCGCCTGCAATGTCGCTGGCGCAACGGAGGTTTCGTAGCCGCTAGTCCTTGTTGTCTTGCCTCCGCTGTGGCCCTTGTCAGACTCGCCTCCGCCGCCACTGCTTCCGCATGCTTACACTAGGTATACATTGTCTTACGGCGATCTTCTGCGTCGAACAACCTCCACCGGCTCATTATCAGGCGTTCTTCTCCTCTTGGTCACCGGCTGGGACCATGCGCGTGTCCCTGCCGGTACTTGTGTACCCACGGTTGGCCAACCGCGCGTCGCTCGCAGACCCAAGCGTTCAATGCGGACATGACTCGCGCTATCGAGGCAAGCCTTCCCAAAAGAACGGAGACTCCAATGACACTCGATCACGGCTCGTGCTTGTCGAACGGGCCACGATGCCTTAAGCGCAGTCGCATTGCCGAACGTGCGCGGGAAAATCAAGCCTCAATTCGAGGACTATCGCCTCTACGTATGGTATCGACGTCCGTCTGAAGTGCGTTGCCTGCTGTCCATTAACGTCCGACCTGAGAATGACGTGACCGAGCACAGATTCGCATACTGACATGTGCGTGCGATTACAACGACCTTTCAATCATTACATGGCAAAACCGTCTGACTCGACGCCCAGGACAGACACGCGCGTCTCAGGTCCACCGCCACCACCCTTCGACTACCCTGCGTGAGCCTAGAACCTGGTGCGTGACGCGCTGCGGTCAGTCTGTAGGCTAGAATCTAATCTCTCGTGAAGTGTTGTTCAAGTGGCAGGCAACGGCGATTAGCTGCGTGGCCAATACCAGCGGTGAGCTCTGACAAGAGATGTAGGTGCAGTGGGTCGCGCAGGGCGTTCGTTGGTGCCCACCCGAGGTGCTGTCGGAGACATTCTCGACGCGTGCTATGCCGTCGTGGAGGGACCGGTAGATGGAGGGCACGAGCGGGGGTGGCATGCCAGTGGGTAGCATACAGCAATGCACGGCATCCAGGTGCGTGCGAGTGCGAGACGTCGAGTACCCATCCCGTTACCGTACGCGTCGAATGACCACGCTGTCTTTCTACTCCTCCAGGTTTCTGAGCCCGAGTACGGCACTCCCTCGTACTAGTCAGGCACCTGTGTCCAGGCGGCGCACAGCGATCTGCACACCAAGTGCACGCACCGACTTCGAGGGTCATTGCACAAGTCAGAACTGGTACTCAGGGACAGGTAGTGAGGGCCACGACGTCGACACGGATCCTGGCTGTGCCTTTCGAGCACATGGACAGTAAGAGACGCAGTGTTGAAGAACGCTGCAGCGGTTCATCTGATCAGGAGTTGTGTGCCTCGAGTGGGTGGTACTTTGTCGCCAGGCACGGCGGAAGGTTAATTGAGCAGCGGGACCGAAGGCCCGACGGCATGACGCCGGGGCTGAAGGGTTGAGTAGCCTGCCAAACAGGGCGGGACGACTTCCGAGAGCTGTGGGTGGCTGCGTGGCGGCTCTACGCTTCCCGCCCGATCGTGGTCGATCGCAGTGCCACCGCCGCCGATCGGGCACGCTCTCCCCAGCCGCACACGAGCTGCACTCTCGCTCGGCCGATGCACGCTCACGTCCAGCGCGGGCGGGGCTCGACAGCGCGCCCGGCCTACCCAACACTGGTCCGTGGCCTTGCCGTGGCCCGGTGCATTCTGGGGGCGGGACACATGCGGTCGTGCGTGCCAAGACCAGGAACCATCAGACCCCATGGGCCTGCCCACGGGCTAATGCCTGCTAATGCTTCCAGCTCATGCGGGGTCGCTTGGCGGGCGATAGAATGCTCGAGGGAGGGCGCCCCCAAGGCGCCCCGCAATCTGGGTGAGTCTGATGCGCATGCTCCCCCGCTCAGCTGACCACCGCCCATCAAATTACCCGCCTTGTGAGCCCCTGCCTCGCGGTCCGCCCGTCCCCAGTCCTGCCCATCGTCCGGTCAACGGACTCCGGAAGTGTTCCCAATAAAAGGCCCCGTCCGCCCGCCATTTTCGAAGCCCCCGACTCCCGCTCCCGGTTCGTCCTCCCCCCCGACAACCCAAGTCGCGTCCAACAGCCAGGTACTCGCCATGGGCAAAGGCTACAGTCCCGCCATCGCGGGGAACCCGTACATCGTCGGTCAGTTGTTTTGTCTGCCGTCGCCCGCTATCTGCTCACCCTGCCCCAGGGTCCTTCGCATGTATCGGCGGTGGTCTCTTCGGACTGGACATTTCGTCCATGTCCGCGGTCCTCAATGTGCGTTGACCCATTTCTCTTCTTCTGTCGCCCATATCTCACTATCGCGTCCATAGAACCCCGCCTACAATACGTACTTTGGCAACCCGGACACAACTAGGCAGGGAGGCATCGTCGCCTCCATGCCCGCCGGCTCCTTCGCCGGTGCCCTTGCCGTCACCTACCTTGCAGACAGAATTGGTCGCAAGTGGACCATCATCAGCAGCGGCTGGATCTGGGTCCTCGGCTGTATCCTCCAGTGCGCGTCTCAGGTAGAGTTAATATCTTCTATCCGTCTTGTCCTGTGTCCTTATCCTGCTGTCACGCCCAGAACGTCGCTATGCTCATCGCTGGGCGTGTCATTGCTGGCATTGCGGTCGGTATTGCCTCCTCCGTCGTCCCCATCTACCAGTCCGAGATTACTCCTCCCGCCATTCGTGGTCGGCTCGTCTCGATGCAACAATGGTGAGCCGCTCAATTCTCTATATCTGCGCGTCCTCTGAGGCGCGTTTGTCAGGTCGATCACATGGGGTATCCTTCTTCAATACTTCGTCGAGTTTGGTTGCTCGTACATCGACGGAAACGCTTCATTCCGGATCCCCTGGGGTCTCCAGATGATACCCGCCATCGTTCTTTCCCTCGGCATGCTCTTCTTCCCTGAATCTCCGCGTTGGCTCATGGATCGTGACCGGTGCGTGATTCTCGGGCACACCATTTGCATCTTGCACTGACAACGACGCCCCTTCGCGCAGCGAATCAGAGGCTCTGCAGATCCTCGCCGATCTGCACGGCGGTGGCGACACGACGACTCCGCTTGTCGTGCTCGAGTTCGACGAGATCAAGGAGCAGGTGACCTTTGAGCGCACCCAGGGCGCAAAGTCATATCTCGACCTCTTCAAGCCTGGTATCGTGCGCCGTGTCGGGCTCGGCATGTCACTCCAGATGTGGTCTCAGCTTTGCGGCATGAACGTCATGATGTGCGTGTCCATCCTCACTGGTTATTGAGCGACAGCTAAACGCGGGGACCGCTAGGTACTACATCGTCTATGTATTCGAGGGTGCTGGCCTGACGGGCCGCCGCGCCAACCTCATCGCCGATTCCGTGCAGTATGTCCTGAATGTGGCCATGACCGTTCCGGCTATCATCTACGTCGACCGCTGGGGCCGTCGCCCGCTCCTGCTCGCCGGCACGGCGCTCATGGGTATGTGGCTCTTCTTGGTCGGTGGTCTCCAGGGCGGCTTTGGACATTGGGGCACGCTCGACGGTAACAGTGAGTGCTCTGCGGCTCGATGCGTTTTGTTTAGCATGTGCTCACCCAACCGCGCGCAGAAATCTGGCTCGTCTCGGGCAACGACCACGCGACAAAGGCGATCATCGTGTGCTCGTATCTCTTCGTGTGCTCGTTCGCGGTGACGATGGGGCCAATCTCGTGGACGTACCCTGCGGAGCTGTTCCCGATGCGCGTGCGCGCCAAGGCGGTGTCGGTCTCGACGGCGACGAACTGGGCGTTCAACTTTGCTCTCGCGTGGTTCGTGCCGCCCGCGCTGTCGAACATCGCGTACAAGACGTACTTCATCTTCGGCACGTTCAACTTCGCCGCGTTCATCCACATCCTGTTCTGCTTCCCCGAGACGGCCGGGCGCACCCTCGAGGAGGTCGAGGCCATCTTTGAGCAGGGACATGCGTTCACTGCGTGGCGCATCGGCCGCGACGTGGGCAAGGTGGACCTCAGCCACGCGCACGCGTTGGACGAGAAGCACGAGGTCCAAGAGGCGGGCTCACTCGAGGAGAAGGCGTAAGTCTCTGCTGTGTTCTCTCTTTTAATTGCATGTGCGATATATGTACACGCCCTGTATCCTGTAGCAGCTGCTTACCGATTCGCGCAAGGCGACTTACTTCGCTACGATTATAATGATGACATCTGTACCAGACAGAAGCCAAGGGATGGTTGCGCTTCTCTCCGCCAGAAGGCAACAGGTGTTAGAGAACGCCAAGACTCGATGTGCGCTAAGTACTTAGTCTCATACCAAGACCCTCCACACGGCACTAGTGTGCCGAACCTACGACGTGCTCCGCCTGCGCATGCTTCTTCGGAGAGAGGCCACTAATACATCCTGGTCACAACGTCTCAGCATTATTGTGCGTTGATTGTGCATGAGAGCTGCTCAAAGAGCTCGGTCGCGTTCTGTAGAACTCCAGTGGAAATTATAAATGACGATTGATTCTCGTGGCTCTCAAGGGGTTTCAGTGGGTTGCTCAACATGAGCGACCGCGGCAATGTATATATAGTCTCGAGCTACAACACAATCAAGTGGCGTGAATCGGCGGATTCCAAACGGGAGGTACAAGACAGTGAAGAGTATAGTATGTTAGGACTTCGGTGGAGGATACATCTTCAGCCAAGATCGACGTACACTCCTCCATCTCGCGTAACACTTTGTCCAGGTACTCCGCTGCTGCGCCAGACAGATGCGCGATGCGACAGCATGCGACATGGATGCTCAGATACCGTATACGTAGACTCGGCAGGGGCAGGTTATTGTTCCCATGAGCGGTGAATGGACTCGTGGAGAGCGAGCAGCATGGATTCGGGTAGGCGCGTGTCTGTCTTGCACGTCGAGTCCGACAACTTTGTCATGGAATGATTGACGGGTCGTTGTGATTGGAGTACTTCGCGGACATGCATTCTCGGATCTATTCTCGGTTGTGTCATGCTCAATCGAACCTTGTCAGTGGTCAGAAGAACGCAGCTCACCTCAGACGGACGTCGACACCAAACATAGAGGCGATAGACCTCGAATTGAGGCTTGATTTTCTGGCGCACGTTCGGCAATGTGACTGCGCTTGGGACAGGCTCGTGGCCCGCCCCAGTGCGGTTGGACGAGGACGCGGCGTCGAGGAAGCGCACCGTCACCGACGCCTAGGCCTACCTAACGACCCACAACGTTACTCCTCTCTCTCGCGCCCATCCAGTCGCCACCGCTACCTTCGTTACACGCCGCGAAAAACTTCCTCAGCCATACAGTCCGCATATGCAAATCGCTTCCCGCCCGATGGAGTCGCCCTCTCCCTGGGGCGAGAGGCCCTCGGCGCTGGCTGACAGTAGAACATTAGCCCTCACTCGAAAAGAAGATGCGGTCAACCATTGGTTCCTTACCATCTCTTTCGTCCCTTCCTGTGACCCGGATGCGTACGCACGCACGATGCCCGTCAGTTACTATGATGCAAGACGTTGAAGAGCGTATGCGAGGACATCCCCAGACGTCTCATCCTCAGCCAAAACACTCAGCCTCCCATGTCACGAAACACTGAGTCAAGATGCTCCGCTGCGCCGGACATATGTGCGAGGCGACCGCAAGCTGCCTGGACAGTGAGATACTATCATACACTGGGCAGTGGCAGGCTGCGACTGCCGTGGGCAACGAATTGGGCTTTTCCGGGACGCCGTAGTCTTGATGCCGTAGATATGGTGCGAGGATGACCTGATAACAATTGCCTGTCGCAAATGAGTTATAGCTGAAGGGCAAATTTGACGATAGGAAACCTCACCTCGTCCGCGACTGCTTCAAGCCAAAGCTCCATGTCATCGAAGACTTTATGGAGACCTACATCGAGTGTCAAGATGTTCTCCAGGCGATGGAGTTCGGTCTTCTCCAAGAGTACTCGCTTTGAGTTCACGGTGGACGTCCTCATACCGAACAGGATCGTCCGCACTGAGGCAACCTGGTGCTCCTGCTGTTTTTTCAGCTACACCCGTCAGTACTCTATATGGCCAGGACACCGACACGTACTTTGGCTAGAGCGGAGCTGTTTGGCGGACAAAGGAGGAGGCAGCGCGTCTTGAGGCGGAAACGCGTAGCTTGCGAGGCGCTCACGTGGCCGTGTCTGTCCGCCCTTTCCTTCGACCGCCAGTTGTACTTAACTTATGTCTAACGGTAACCTGTGTCGAACCAGCCTACGTACGCGTACCACGACTCGCGCACAACGTTCTGTCTCTCGTAGGCCCCACGCAATACCACTACGCTGCCGACACCGTTCCACTCACCCCCAAGAGCCCGCCTCATCTTCAGATTGGCCAAATCCCATCTCCTCCTCCTCTATTCTCGTCCGCTCCAAATCTACCTTCGAAGCATTCGCTTCGAGGCATCCGGATCCTCATGAGCTCAGCGAGCCTTCCGCGGACGTCTCGCGCTTCCTGATACACCTCAAGGCGACCACGTCGCGCGCACGACGGGCCACGCACGCGATGTGGGCCTGGCGGAGCATATCTGCCACACACGGCGTCCGCTCGTGCGCGGACGACGGCGGCGAGGCTGGCGCCGGTAAGAAACTGGAACGCTTGTTGGAGCTCTCGGCATGCGAGAACGTGGTGCTGGTCGTGTTCCGGTGGTATGGGGGCGTGCAGCTTGGGTCGCAGAGGTGGAAGTGCATCTCGCAGGTGGCCAAGGAGGCGTTGGAGGCGGGCGGATTCCGTGGCAGCCCGTCTGCGAAGGATGGCGCGAAGCGACGGTAGACTGAGGCGATTTCAAGTGCGTGTATCTCCTCCACTCTCACTGGTACGTGCGATTGATTCTTGAAGATCGGTTTAGCATTTTTGGTAAACTTGTCGCTTTGCGGCTCTTCCGAGCTCGCCGTCGTCAGTATGCTGGGGCGTTAAGTAAATATTGGTGATGAACACTGAACGCGCGTGGGCCTCTGATCATGGCTTTAACTATGGGTCGTCGTTCCCACCATGACACGCGCTCTCCAAGTAGAGGTGAGTCTCCTCCACCAACTTCGTAATGCGATTTCTCCCAAACTGTCTCCCCCAGTATGCGTGTCGTTGGGTACACGGCCTTCTGACCCATCTTTACCTCGTGCGCTGCTCGTATGTCAGTGTACCACGAGCACCGAGTATGAAGCGTCTGATGCTTTCCAATTCTTGAATACGGATGCTTGTGACACATCGACGTTGAACGGCATGTTGACAATGTCCCTTACCTCTCGATGAGATATGTGATGAGTGGTCGTCTCGCTCCATACAGTTTGAACGGCATCCAACAAAACTGCCACCGCTCATTGTGTAGCATGAGAATTGGCCAAGTTCTGAATCTGCTAAGTATCGGGCTTGACAACTTGCATCTTCAGTCAACTTCCGCAAAGATGGTAGAGCCGCTGATAGTGATACGATAGGACCGACGCGCTCGCACTCCGCCGTGGTTCCGAAGGTCTCCGGGTAGCTCACCACAAAAAGTAGATGGTGGGGATCTTGCATGCCTGTGCCCTCCGCAAGATAAAGGGGCACGGCAGTAACGATGGCTTGCTCGGTGCTCGGAGTGCGGCTGGTCCCCTCTTCGACAACGCACCAAGCAAACATCTCTATTTTGCTGTTCTATCGCAGTATCTTACCTGACGTCGGCTGCGCCGATCGTACCCTGCGATACGTTGAGCGCACACATTGAGTCGAGGGTTTTGACGGTGAGTGCCCATGGTTTGCTTAACCACGGCCATTATGATGTCTACATACTGCTTCAGGACACGATCTGCAACATTGTCTACATCCACGACATGCTATCGCGGACACGGCGCTCGCCTCCACAGGGTACGCGGACTTCGCGAGGTACACCAAGTTCGCAACAAAATGCTCAGTCCACGGGATGGTCTGATGGTTGTCCCAGATCTCTGGAAAATAACATCGTATATATATCCCATCTAGAGAAGGACGAAGATGGTGCAAGTACCAGCCATGGGCCCGAAGGCTGCACATGCCGAGCAGCCGAACAGGCGGGCCCGTGCAAACGCCCGCCCGCCCGCGGCGCTTCGCAGCGGCACGGAGGGTTCCCTCCGTACCCTTACTGTGTACTCACTCTCTAGCACTTGGCGAACAATACCGCTGTGGCTTTCTCGCAGCAGCCGTGTGGCATCGTCAGCGCCGTGGCTGTGTTGACTAGCATAGTGTAACACCGCTACGGTGTTACGACCCACATGTCTTTGCTTCCGCGGCGCCCTTAGGCGCCGCGTGTCTTGTTTGGTCTCCTTTCCGCTTTCGGTAGTCGTTCAAGTTCGAGCGTCCTGCGTTGCCTCTTCTTTAGTTCTTACTTCGGCAACGCAGGTACGTGATATATCCACACTCCATGTACATACAGAGTTCTTACTTCGGCAACGCAGTTTGTGCCAGTTCTGTCACGGTTCGCCGAGTGAGTGCGGATCCCCGCCCGCGCTACACTTTTTTTTGAACTGCACACGAACTACGGAGCTGTTGGAGTGTGAAACCGTCCCGCCGTCGCCGTCTCTCTCTAAATCTCACTCTTTCTGCCCAACCTGCCTTCCCGCCGTCTACCGTCAATAACTACTTCGCTTCTTACGCGTTCCCGCGTACGAACGAACACGGATAATTCAGCCGCTCGGGTGGACGCCGCCACCCCTGGAAGGGAATCTGATTCCTCTTCGCCCTTATCTGCCGTAACGCCGCTGTCCGCGCTCTCTGAGAGTCGTGTGGACGAATTGATAGAAGCACTGGAGGAAGAAGCCGCGCGGAACAGTACCGCCGGCGAGATTGACGCCCCCAGACGCTCACCGCCGCGCATACAACCCTCTCCTACTCCCTCTCTGTCCTCTTCCTCCTCGTCTTCCTCCTCAGACGACTCCTTGCTAGTATCCCCGTCGAATATGGCTCCTCCGGTCTCGGAACTCAAGGCGACTAGCGCCAATGCGGCCGTCTCGCAGGCCTCCCAGAAACATGCTCCCGTCGTAACTCCGGGGAAGCTCACGCCGGCCGTCCTGCTGCAGTGGGAAGCCTACTGTGTCGCGTTCTTCCGGAAACAGAAGATCGGTGACGCAGACAAGGTCGCGGAGGTCGCGCCTGGATTCCAAGATGAGCTCATCCCACATTCATGAGCGGACCATACCCATTCCTAACGGTACACCCGGGCTGCATATTCCCCATTGTCAACGGAAACCCGACGCCGGCCGGAGAAATGTGTCCGGAGGTTGCAAACCCACCGGCCGGCACCTGAGGTGCCCATTGTTAGCAGACTGGCCGGTCTTGTTTTGAACGGACTGGCCGATGGCAGGGAAAATCAACAAGTGTTACTGAACAATGGTCCGGAATTTAATCTATGGTTGTAAATGGACCGGCCGGAGAGTGGCAACCACATTTATAACACTCCAGCAGGATTTCATCCCTGTGTTTGGAAATAGTCCGGCCGGAATGCATCCCTACGGTTTCAAATGGTCCGGCCGAAGGTCATATACCTTTGTTTATGATGTACCGGCCGAAGGTAATATATCTAAATTAATAACACACCGGCCAGAGGTGATATACCTACATTGAGAAAGAACCGGCCGGTCATAATGTACCCACGCACAAAACAAACCGGCCGGCCATGACATAGTTTCACTACACATTGACCGGCCAGGCATAGCATGCCTATATCAGAAATGAACCGGCCGGTCATATGGAGCCTGAATATCAATTGCTCCCACCATCCTGGAAACATATTCATTGATGCACTGAGTTTTCTGGACCATAAATGCACTGGACCCAGGTTTTTTGGGCTTTGAATACATTTTTAGCATCCCGATAGATGCTCCCAATTTTCCAGGCACATGCAAACCATTCCAGAGCTTTAGAATCATCAAAATTGAGTTTTCTGGGCTGAAAATAGACCAAAACCAGCCTTTCTGAGCTGGAAATGCATCAGAACACATTTATTGAGCCTCCCAATCCACATTTACAACAGCTCTGAGCCTTATACACCAAGTCCGAGTATTTTACACAATTGCCGAGATTCCACAAAGTCCCGGCGCCGAGGATGCACCAAGTCCCGGCGCCGGGGGTGCACCAAGTTGCGGCGCCGCAAGTGCTCCAAGTTGCGGCGCCGCAGGTGCACCAAGCCTCGGCGCCGCACCGTCTCGTTAAGCGCCGAGAAACATCGCTCGGCGCCGAGACTTGGTGCACCTGCGGCGCCGCAACTTGGTGCACCTGCGGCGCCGCAACTTGGTACTACCTCGGCGCCGAGTTGTGCTAAACCTGAGGAATAATGGAGTTTCTAACAATGATCACAAAAAGATTACTGATGTTTGTTACACCAATGACCTTTTGTAGCTCATCTTATAGGGAATGTTAGGTTCATTAGGAAATCTCCTAATGACACTACAAAGGTTTGTATGTGGTTACTTATAAAAAGTGATGTTTGTGTCTCATTGTGTAGGGAATGGTCTGTTGATAAGTAAATCTTCTATTGACACTTCAAGGATTTCCAATGGTCAGGCCGGTACAGCTGCTTTTCTTGTCTGGCTGGTAAGTAAACTTACTGATGACACTACAGTATATTGTATTCAATTTGTACATTTGTAGCTCATCTTATAGGAAATGTTAGGTTCATTAGTAAATCTTCTAATGTCATTACAAGGGTTTGTATGTGGTTACTTATAAAAAGTGAGGTTTATATTTCATTGTGTAGGGAATAGTCTATTGATAAGTAAATCTTCTATTGACACTTCAAGGATTTTCAATGCTTAGGCCAGTACAGCAGCTTTTCTTGTTCAGCCAGTAAGTAAGCTTATTGATAGCACTACACATATTTGTATCTCATCTTGTGGGGAACATTAGGTTGATAAGCAACTATTATGATGAGACTACAAGGATGTGTACATCTCATGCTGTTGTTATTGTACAGTAGACAGAACACTACATTACAAATGTGTAGTACTATGACAACTTCTGGCTGATCTAGCGCCCACACTAAAGTTGGTAGCACTTACAGCTTGGAAGATTAAGCTATGAGATTTGGCATATGTGCTGCTGGCTGTATGAACATACATTATAGCCACTAACCTAATGTGGGCAAAGAATACTGCCATGGTGAGGAGAGTAAGAAGGGAGCAGGGACATGCACAATTAGTGATATGTCTCTGAAGTGATAAGTTGTTGCCTTTATGTACAACTTTTGTGCCAACATGTGTCCAGATGAACAAGTACATTCATCAAGTCATGTATGGATGGGTTGCTGATACATGTTTCATTTATCCTCATACATTCTGCTATGATCATGATGGCCACACCCTACATATATATCTGTATGTAGAAACCAATCCCAGATGAATATGAGACATTCTATAGAATTAACACATGTGGTCCTAGGTACATTGCTCTGCTACAGCCTACATTTGGAACTCACTGACTTTTCTGTAAATGCTAGACAGTTCAACCTTGATGCAGGGTTGTAACTATGATGTATTCTTTTGTGATAATCAACCTCTTGTTCCTACAGTGTTCCTTTGTCTTAATTTCATTATGTACTAATTAAATACAACACACTGTAGTGTCATTAGTGAGTTTACTTACCAGCCGGAACAGGAAAAGCAGCTGTACCGGCCTAACCGTTGAGAATCCTTGAAGTGTCAATAGAAGATTTACTTATCAACAGACCATTCCCTACACAATGAGACACAAACATCACTTTTTATAAGTAACCACATACAAACCTTTGTAGTGTCATTAGGAGATTTCCTACTGAACCTAACATTCCCTATAAGATGAGCTACAAAAGGTCATTGGTGTAACAAACATCAGTAATCTTTTTGTGATCATTGTTAGAAACCCCATTATTCCTCAGGTTTAGCACAACTCGGCGCCGAGGTAGTACCAAGTTGCGGCGCCGCAGGTGCACCAAGTCTCGGCGCCGAGCGATGTTTCTCGGCGCTTAACGAGACGGTGCGGCGCCGAGGCTTGGTGCACCTGCGGCGCCGCAACTTGGAGCACTTGCGGCGCCGCAACTTGGTGCACCCCCGGCGCCGGGACTTTGTGGAATCTCGGCGATTGTGCAAAATACTCGGACTTGGTGTATAAGGCTCAGACCTGTTGTAAATATGATTTAGGGAGCTAAACACATGTGCAAGAATAGCCTTTGAAGTAATTCCAGCCTGGAAAACCTGGATCTGGTCTGTTTCCAGGCTAGAAAAGCTCATTTATGGTGCTTTTGAAGCATGGGCATGGTTTGTATGTACCTGATAAAATTGGGAGCATGTAAGGGAACGCTTGTCAATGTATTCCAAGCCCAAAAAACCTAGGTCCAGTGTGTTGATGGTCCAGAAACCTCAGTGCATCTTTGACAATGTGTTCTGGGATGTTTGGCACAATTATCATTCAGATTCCATATGACCGGCCGGTTCATTTCTAATGTAGGTTTGTTATGACTGTCCGGCCCATGTGTAGTGTAAGTATGTCATGCCTGGCCGGTCTGTTTTTGGTGTAGGTAGACTATGACCGGCCGGTCCTTTTGCAATGCAGGTATATGACCTCCGGCCGGTATGTTATAAATGTAGGTACATGAACTCCGGCCGGTGCATTATAAGTCAAGGTATATGAGCTCTGGGTGGTGCATTGATAATGTGAATGTATGAGCTCCGGCCGGTGCATCAATGATGTGGGTATATGAGCTCCGGCCGGTCTGTTATTAATGTGGGTATATGAGTCCCGGCCGGTCTGTTATAAATGTAGGTGCCTGATCTCTGGCCGGTCCATTTACAACCATAGATTAAATTCCGGACCATTGTTCAGTAACACTTGTTGATTTGCCCTATTGCCGGCCGGTCCGTTCAAAACAAGACCGGCCAGTCTGCTAACAATGGGCACCTCAGGTGCCGGCCGGTGGGTTTGCAACCTCCGGACACATTTCTCCGGCCGGCGTCGGGTTTCCGTTGACAACGGGGAATATGCAGCCCGGGTGTACCGTTAGGAACGTAAAAGTACACTCATTGGGCTCCTCATCCAAGACTGGTATATCAACGACGCGGAGAACATCAACGAAAAGTCTTTTGCTGACTTCTTAAAGCTCTTGCGTACCCGCTTCCTTCCTCGCGACTGGGAGGACGACATCGCTACTGCCCTCCGACGTATGAGGCAGCGGGACGACGAGAGCTTTGCCGACTGGGTAATCTCTGTCGAGAAGCAGAACCGACTGCTACACGGCAGCGACCAACGCCTGGACGAGAAGGCTCTCCGGGCTCAGATCACCGCCAACGCCTGTCAAGAGGTCCGCCGCACCGCGATGAAGAAGGAGTACAAGGATATCTCCGACTTCAAGTCGTGGAAGGACACTCTTGCCGTTTTCGACGAAGAGAGGCTGGCCGACCGTGTCAAGCGACAGAAGGAAATGGAACGGTTCATCTCCACGAACCGCTCGCAGACGTACAATGCGAAGCCAGCTCCCAAAGCGTCGTCCAGCTCCGGTGCCGGCATCTTGCAGTCAACCTCTGGTCCGTCTAACGTCTCGTCCTCGGGATCTGGTCAGCTCCCGAAGATGTCTAGTGCCGAACGGGATCTGCTATCTGCGAACAGTGGCTGCTTCCGGTGCCGCCGCCCCTTCGTCTATCACAAAACACCGCAATGCACCAACGGGTTCCCCAACGCGGACAACTTCCGCCCCGTTACGCAGGCCGACATCGACGCCATCAAATCCAAGATGAAGTCGGTGGTCGCCGCAGTGTTCACCCAGGACGCCCCGCCTCCCACAGAGTCGGACGCCGTCCACACCATTGCTGCTGTACGGGTCGATTCGCCCCCTGCGGTTCCGCTCAGCAACGTCCTTGGGTCTGGAACTGATTCCGAACCTGAGTACGTCGCGCCTGCCGTATCTTCCTCTCTCCTCTATCTCCGTGCGGTCGTCCATGGCCCGTCACGGGAATCTACCCCATTGGCAATGCTGGTTGACTCCGGTTCCTCTACAGTTCTGATTAGAGAAGATCTTGTCACGGAGCTCAACCTCCGACGTCACCGTTTGCCAACACCACTCGTAATGGGGAATGCCTGGAATGGGGAGAGAAGTGAGGCTACCGAGTGGGTAAAATTGCGGGTTTCAACCCCCGCGTTCGAGTGGAGTTCCATCACCTGT